ATAACACATAATTTATTTCACATGCATGTGAAATTAAAAAAAAAAAGCTTTTTCGCTTTTTTTACCATGGCAAGTATGGAAGAGGATTAGGGCCAAGCAATATTAAAAAAATAAAACCATCTCGAGATTAAAGTCATTATAATGCGGGATTAAACTCAATAAATTTCGAGAAAAAGGTCTAAACACAATCTTGAGAATAAACTCAAATATCAAGAAAAGTCGTTGTGTTTCAAGAAAAAAACTCGTTCAACTTCGAGAAAAAGACGAAATGCAATCTTGAAAATAAACTAATTAAATATAGAGAATAAAGTCGTTGTTTCAAGAAAAAATTCGTCAATTTCGAGAAAAAATAAATCGAAATCCAATCTTGAGAATAAACTCATTAAATATCGAGAATAAAGTGGTTGTTTCAAGAAAAAATTCGTTCAATTTCGAGAAAAAGTCGAAATACAATCTTGAAAATAAACTCATTAAATATCGAGAATAAAGTCGTTGTTTCAAGAAAAAACTCGTTCAATTTAGAGAAAAAAGTCGAAATTCAATCTTGAGAATGAACTCATTAAATATCGAGAATAAAGTCGCTGTGTTTCAAGAAAAAACGCATTCAATTTCGAGAAAAAGTCCAAATAGAATCTTGAGAATAAACTCATTAAATATAGAGAATAAAGTCGCCGTATTTCAAGAAAAAACTTGTTGAATTTCAAGAAAAAAGTCGAAATACAATCTTGAGAATAAACTCAATGAATATCGAGAATAAAGTCGTGTTTCCAGAAAAAGCTTGTTTAATTTTGAGAAAAAAAATTGAAATTCAATCTCGAGAATAAAGTCGCTGTGTTTCAAGAAAAATCTCTTTCAATTTCAAGAAAAAAGTCAAAATACAACCTTGAGAATAAACTCATTAAATTTCGAGAATAAAGTCGCCGTGTTTCAAGAAAAAACTCGTTCAATTTCGTGAAAAAAAGTCGAAATTCAATATTGAGAATAAACTCATTAAATATCAAGAATAAAGTCATATTTCAGAAAAAAAGTCAAAATACAACCATGAGAATAACATTAAATTTCGAGAATAAAGTCGCCGTGTTTCAAGAAAAAACTCGTTCAATTTCGTGAAAAAAAGTCGAAATTCAATATTGAGAATAAACTCATTAAATATCAAGAATAAAGTCATATTTCAGAAAAAAAGTCAAAATACAACCTTGAGAATAAACTCATTAAATTTCGAGAATAAAGTTGTTTCAAGAAAAATCTCGTTCAATTTCGAGAAAAAAAGTCGAAATTCAATCTTGAGAATAAACTCATTAAATATCGAGAATAAAGTCGTATTTCAGAAAAAAAAAGTCAAAATACAACCTTGAGAATAAACTCATTAAATTTCGAGAATAAAGTTGTTCTAGGCCCTAATCCTCTTCCGTATTTATTTATTAGTTTGTATACTTGCATGATTTTTTTCTAAAGTTAAAGCAGCTTTCTTTAGTGGACAAACATTTAAATTCCTTTTACGGACTTAAGTCGCAAATCAAAAATTCAAAAATGAATTTTTATTCATTAATTTCTTATTCTATCATCATTTAATTAAAGCAATACATATATAGCCTATTTAAAAAGTATTGTTTGTAGCAGAATCCACCAGCAATCAAATAACATACTTCAAAAAGTAAAGTACAGAATGATTTTAGTCTTGCAGTAACACTTCTTAACTTCCTCTCCGGTAATTGCAACAAGTCTGTCTGCCAAATATGTCCTAAATACTTTCACTTATTTGCATATTTATTTGTTTCAGTTGTTGTATTTACTCGACTGTAAGTCACAAACTCTTCTCGACCTGCAGATCCTTTAAATTTGACCCAGCAACTACGAGCTCTACATATAACCCCTCGCAGAGGCGTCATTGTGTCATTGCCGATCCATTTTTACCCCTGTAAACCAGAACCGTATGTGTAAAGGCATTTACAGCTTGCCGCTTTGAGTGGAACTGCATTCGTTCCCTTTTTAAAGCAGTTTTATGAGGTCATGCGGGAGCTTTATGGGAGCAACAGCAACAAACTGGAAGTTTTATTATATATTCAATGCATAGTTGAAGCATTATTGTTTTCCTGATGAGTGATGTTTGAGCGTTTAAATCCCGTGAGGTGTAAACATTGGGGTGTATAGGGGCGAGTTATCAAGAATGGCATTCGTAGCTGTAGCTGAACCTTTCTCTGAACCGCAGTCTAGCAATGGCATATTTTTTACACTTCTAACAATGTCCATGACAGCCATTTGTGCCATATTTTTGTTTTGAAAGTTTTTCCACCAGAATGTGATACCTCAAATTATCTATGGTGTTTAATATCACTCTGACTTAAACATTTATAGAATTAAATAGTGGACTCCTTTGTCTAAAACATTTCACTGCTGAAATTGTATATATCTGAATTGCAGAAAAACTGTTGTGGAAATGACGGCACAGTGGACAGGATTATCACAGTTAAGAAAGTCGTTAGAAAATGAAATGGCTCCGTAAGAAAGGGTTTAAGAATGAAGAGCTCCAGCTCCACCTGTCCCGTGGCCGGTGCGATTTCTGAGGGGTTTCTGTGTGCAGTTGTCCTGCTGATGGGGAACATTTTGTCCAGCGCTTGCAGTTTCAGTGTCAGTCATTCTCTAAGCAGTATCTGCTTTCCTACAAGTCAAGAATACTCTGGGATTGGGGCAGTGAATGTCACACGCGGCTCCGCGACAATCCAATGGAGATTTTGTGCATTTGCTGTTCATTATTTAAGTCTGCTGATATTATGTTTATTTAAAATCTATCCCTAGCGTTCTATCACTATATTGTTCTATCTTTCACTCTATATCACTCTATTATCGATCTATTGTCTATCACTCTATAACGCTCTATCATCTATCAATCTATCGTTCTTTCACTATCCACTCTAAAGGATTATTAGGAACACCATCCCAATACTGTGTTTGACCCCCTTTCGCCTTCAGAATTGCCCTAATTCTACGTGGCATTGATTTAACAAGGTGCTGAAAGCATTCTTTAGAAATGTTGGCCCATATTGATAGGATAGCATCTTGCAGTTGGTGGAGATTTGTGGGATGCACATCCAGGGCACGAAGCTCCCGTTCCACCACATCCCAAAGATGCTCTATTGGGTTGAGATCTGGTGACTGTGGGGGCCATTTTAGTACAGTGAACTCATTGTCATGTTCAATAAAACCAATTTGAAATGATTCAAGCTTTGTGACATGGTGCATTATCCTGCTGGAAGTAGCCATCAGAGGATGAGGACATGGTGGCCATAAAGGGATAGACATGGTCAGAAACAATTCTCAGGTAGGTCGTGGCATTTAAACGATGCCCAATTGGCACTAAGGGGCCTAAAGTGTGCCAAGAAAACATCCCTCACATCATTACACCACCACCACCAGCCTGCACAGTGGTAACAAGACATGACGGATCCATGTTCTCATTCTGATTACGCCAAATTCGACTCTACCATCTGAATGGCTCAACAGAAATCGAGACTCATCAGACGAGGCAACATTTTTCCAGTCTTTAACTGTCCAATTTTGGTGAGCTCTTTCAAATTGTAGCCTCTTTTTCCTATGTGTAGTGGAGATGAGTGGTGCCCGGTGGGGTCTTCTGCTGTTATAGCCCATCCGCCTCAAGGTTGTGCGTGTTGTGGCTTCACAAATGCTTTGCTGCATACCTCGGTTGTAACGAGTGGTTATTTCAGTCAAAGTTGCTCTTCTATCAGCTTGAATCAGTCGGCCCATTCTCCTCTGACCTCTAGAATCAACAAGGCATCTTCGCCCACAGGACTGCCCCATACTGGATGATTTTCCCTTTTCACACCATTCTTTGTAATTCCTAGAAATGGTTGTGAGTAAAAATCCCAGTAATTGAGCAGATTGTGAAATACTCAGACCGGGCCGTCTGGCACCAGCAACCATGCCACGCTCAAAATTGCTTAAATCACCTTTCTTCCCCATTCTGATATTCAGTTTGGAGTTCAGGAGATTGTCTTGACCAGGACCACACCACTAAATGCAGTGAAGACACTGCCGTGTGATTGGTTCATTAGATAATTGCATTAATGAGAAATCGAACAGATGTTCCTAATAATTCTTTAGGTGAGTGTATGCTCTGTCACTCCATCTAAATCGCTCTATTGTTCTATCTGCCTATATATCATTCCATCTGTCATGCTATTGTACTATATATCATATCTACCCATCTGTCTTTCTATCTATGCTTTAAAATGACAGATTGGTTCATGAACTCCACCTGTAGTGCGAATTAATTACTGCAGGTTTCATTATTAAGTTTCCAACAAACTCCGCCGACTCCCTAAAGTCTGTAAAGTCTGAACTCCAGGTTTCATTGAGAAGATCTCGTGCCCGAGATCCCCAATAAACCCAGTCCAGTTTAGTGTGTGGGACAGAACCCCGTGCACAGACTGTCCGTCAGCGGTCAATGCTTTCGTCCAGAGCGTTACAGAGAGAGAATCAAAGGCTTTGCTCATGCACGTGCGACGGGGGCCTCTTTGTGCCCCGCAAAATGTTAATGGTCGGAAATGTTAATAATCTGCGGACGGGGGTCTGACCTTTGATAAGCTGTTGACGAAACTGATCCGGCACTTTTGAGTGACTGGCTAATGGCATTCCTCACACTTGCTCTGTCATTGGCTGGAGAGAGAATGAAAGTGTACGGCAGCCCTCGGGGACTCCCAAATGGTCAAGTGCCTTTAACGTCCCTCTTCCTGTTGTGTTCCTCCAGCTCTGATCCCAGCTTTACCACCAGCCCCCTTTTTTTAGACCTTTGCAGGTCTGGCAGGAGCTCAGAGAGAGGGCTAACTTTCACTACCGCTGTTGATCCCGGATTCACTGGAGGCCGATTCGTTACTGCGCAGAAAACACAGGACTTCAGTCGGGATTCACTGCAGAACAACCTCCTGCAACTTATCGGGGAGTGACTTATTGGATTTTCCTGTGGGTGGAAAGCCTTTTATACCATGAACCAAACTTGGGACAAGGGTGTTTTTGAGAACGGACAGTCAAAAAATCCAGGGAATGTCGGGACAGCGTGCGCGGAGCACCTCCAGAGGTAAGGAATGTGCCGTGTATTGCATTGAGATTTATGGAAAATCGATTTGTTTGCAGGCGTTTCATCCCTGTTTTGGGGGATAAATCACGCTTGAGTAGCAAGTACAGTAAGAAATCATGTAAGTGCTTGAAGTGGCACGGTTCCTCAAGACAGGGATGATGGATGGTTTGATGAGTGAAACTTTTGAGGTCTTTGCCAAAGTGTAATTCTGTATTATTAGAGCTGTATTGTAGCCACAGATCTCCAACATAAACTGTTATCATTCCTCATGCTTATTCCGTCATGCTTTCTCATCACAAATGTAAACGTGCATTTCTGTAGATTTAAAGCAATATCAATGTAATAAGTTACATATATATATATATATTTGTAATCTCATTTTACATTTAAACTTACCCATTTTTATTCCTAATAATTTTACTAATGCTTAAAATATATTTATTTGGTTCATATTTACCACCGTTTGTTAAAACAGTTAACGCCACTGTTCAGTGTTGGGGAAAAAAGATCTATGAATAAAAGCAAACAATAAAGTTAATAAATGTTAATAAAATTGTTAGCATGCCTTGTGATATTCATTGCATAAATAATAGTATTTATTTGTTTTAAAGAGTTTGTGTTGAGAATAGCTACAGAATTTTTGTAAAATGTATTTTGCGATGAGTTCAGTGGTCCCCAAAATTTACCTTTTAGAACTCTGAACTTTTAAAATAGTCATAAAATAGCCATTATATAAAATATATTTTATTTGAGCTGTAAATCATCTTAATGAATTACTATTGTAAACTAAACTTATATATAAACTATATATATATATATATATATATATTCAGATGCAAAAGCCTCTAAATGCCATTTGAAATTTTCTTCTTTAATGATGATTTTTATCAAACTTGTATATTTAAGTTCACTTAAATAACAAATAATAGGTAATTATCATTGCCATTTAAGTGAAATCACTGAACTTAAATATACACGCTTGATAAAAATTATCATTCAAGAAGAAAATTTCAAATGGCACTTATGAGGCTTTTGCATCTGAACTCTTCATTTCCTACTTCCTTCATTATACAACATCAAAAAAAGTCACATTCATGTTTTAAACGTTAAAATGTAAGATACATGTAATTTAAGTATGTAACATCATGTGTATATATATGTGTGACATTGTAAATATACATGATGTTACATACTTAAATTACATGTCTCTTACATTTTAACGTTTAAAACATGAATGTGACTTTTTTTGATGTTGTATAATGAAGGTAGTAGTTATCTGCTGTCATATCCTACATGTTTTCAATTACGAAGAAGAAAACAACTGGAGATTGTATGATGAACTTGGTTGTCCATTCAGTCCGCACGTACATTTGTTCCCAGTGAGTGTTTCCAGCAGATGTTACTGGTGACACTGGTGTTAGTTTATTGTTGATAACAGTGCTGATGTGCACATAAGTGATGACTGCATTCCTGCTACATGTCTCTATGATATCACTCAACACTAGTCAAAATATAATGCTAATTGTGCAACAAAAAACTAGTATTTTCTACTGTGCAGTTCATATATATTTTTGATGTATAGTTTAGATGGTTGGATTGGCAAATCGTGTACAGAAATGTTTATGTCTTGCAAATTTACTAGTGTTCGTCAGTTGAAGTGCTATAACTCGCTCTAGTACAGGCGAACAAAATTAGCCCTGTAAACGGGACGGACATGACAGTGATCTCCAGTCTTCAGGACACCCTTGACGTGAAGAATCAGGACACTCTTCCGTGTGAGTTACTGACTGAAATGTGGACGCCAGTTTTGTTGCAGAGGTACAAAGCTGTCCCATATGGACATGGCGTCCACTGTTACTATTTTAAAACATTCTCCGTTTTTGCACAACACTTCGTATGAGTGTGTCCCAAAATTGTGCTGACATAATTTCTTGCTAAAAATGATGAACAAATGCAAAACCGAGAGAACCAATGAATTATTAATAATTGATTGTTGTCAAAAAAGCCAGATAAATACCTTAACCAAGAGTTTTCTTCTTCTTTCATATTTATAAATAAAAAAATCCTCAACATATGCATCTATAACAAAAAAAGTTTGTATATATATATATATATATATATATATACAGTATATATATATATATATATATATATATATATATATATATATATATTAGGGCTGTCAAATGATTAATCGCGATTAATCGCATTAAACCAAAAAAAAAGTTTATGTTTACATAATATATGTAATTGCACTGTGTATAATTATTTTATATATATATATACACACACATACTTGTATATATTTACGAAATATTTTAAGAAATAATATATATATATATATATATATATATTAGGGCTGTCAAATGATTAATCGCATTAAACCAAAATAAAAGTTTGTGTTTACATAATATATGTAATTGCACTGTGTATAATATATATATATATATATATATATATATATATATATATATATGAAGAGTTCAGATGCAAAAGCCTCTAAATGCCATTTGAAATTTTCATCTTTAATGATGATTTTTATCAAACTTATATATTTAAGTTCAGTAATTTCACTTAAATAACAATTAATAGGTAATTATCATTGCAATTTAAGTGAAATTACTGAACTTAAATATACAAGTTTGATAAAAATCATCATTAAAGAAGAAAATTTCAAATGGCATTTAGAGGCTTTTGCATCTGAACTCTTCATATATATATATAAAAATACATACACATGCTTGTATATATTTATTTAAGAAATATTTTCCTTAATATACTGTATATAGATTTATATATACTTTATATTATATATAAATATAAATATTTTGTATATAAATATTTTTTTTTCCTAAATATGTGTGTGTGTATATATATATATATATATATATATAATAATTCTACACATAATTAAGTCAATTTTCAGATACATTCCAAAAATATTTGTTAGGGAAATGAACCATCTAATTAGGAAATGCAGTGTTTTTGTGCAGTTTAGTTAATCTGTGCAGTTAAAGTGTATTTTTTAACACTTTTAATAGGAAGCAATCTTGCAGGATCAAGCCAATGCTGTTACGGTGTCATTGTAACTGTTACTATTATAACTTTGTGACTGTTTGAGAAGTCATGCGAAGTCTGCTTAATTGTTTTACAGTCCCTTGCATATTGGCTCCTACATTTAATGCATGAATCCTCAGCTGCCCGCGTGAAGCTTTTCAGCCAGCGGTAGGTCGTGGGCTCTGAAAGATGGGCATTTTTGATGGATTGTTTTTAAATAGCGCAGCATTATGACTGGTATTGTCAGGATGTGTCGGGGCTGTTGCGTTGGCCCTTTTTCCCTCTCGCCCGCCATGGTGCATCGCTCCCTCTCTCCTCTCCCATATATCCCCCGTCAGCTGCTCTCTCTATCACTCTGCCAGCCCGACCCAGAGGCGGAAGTCCCACCGTGAGGCTGATGGGAGTCCCAGACGCCATTCTGGGCTACAGCGCGTCTGCTTTTCATCCGGATACTTTGGTGTAAACAGCTGTGTGAAAATGACCCTGGAAAGGTATATTGTGTTGTTCATTTTCATTGTAATATTTTACTGTTTTTCCACAGCTGTCGTGGTCTTTGGTGTTGTTTGACCTTTGAACGGCTGGATCTAGATGTTTCAAGCACCGTCAAGAGCAGTAAAAGTTTCAGGCATGATCGCTGTGCATAGCATGCGTGTTTGCTGGTATGACCAGGGATGCAGAAATCACAGCTGGGAAATATGTTGTGAATGCCTTTGTCCCTTCAGATCTTAAGACTACCGGATTCGGTTGCCTTTTGTCATTAGTTTCATGTCTATGCGCTCATGAATCCATATGGTGACACAATGCCCTGTGGAAACACGTGTTTTGTGCTGTTTGATGTGTGGATGCGGCAACAGAAGCCTGAGAAATGTCTTGTTTTTAGTCCTGGAACAAGCCCTAGCTAACTAAACTACATGTAAACGACCATTTTGTTAAAAGGTGTACTGACCCCTGCCAGTGTTCAACTAAAAAGGGGGTGTGGGATATCCAACTGGCCTATCCAATCGAAAGCTTGGTAAGAGAACGGTAGTTTTGTTTCTTCGTAATAAAGTCTTGCCTGACAATTGTATGATTGGGTGTAAAGAAACAAAACAGCAAAACTACCATTAGCTTAGCAAGTTGTCAATAGAGCATCACAGTCCCGCCCACAGCCGGTGCCGGAAGTAAAAATTCAATACAATTTTTCCATTGACAGTTGGGATATAAGCCATTAAAAATGCCACATGGTAGACTTAAAACCAGCTACGGCTGTACCAAGCGATTGTATATGCTCATATAAACGTCAAAAGTTCATGGGGCAGCGCAATCTCATCCCAAGACGTCATATAACTGACCATACGTCAACATCCGCCGTTTTAGGATACCCTTTAACGTCGGTTAGATGACGTCATCGGATCCTAAACCTACCCCGTCACCTAACTGACGTTAAAGGTAAAGCGTCAGTTGTACGACGGCCCGGGATCGTCATGTAACCGACGTTAAAAGGTACCCTAAAAAGGCGGATGTTGACGTATGGTCAAAAGACGTCCCAAGACGTCAGTTATATGACGTCTTGAGACTGTGTTACATGGGGCACTAACCTTGTTTTAACATAAATGCCTTTTATTCGCGATGTATTGGATAAGTACTTCATTACCCACGATCCTGAACAATCCCACAATCCACAGTGATTGGTGGAAGTCGTGTCACATGTCTGAAACCCCGCGAAGGTCAGTGAAGACTGAAGATCGTGTAATGACGTAGGGCTAAGTTCATTGGTCGCACCTCAGAGACGCCCCCGCGCCATTGGATGTCCAGTTGCCGCAGCACAGCCAATGAGCGAGCCAGATGCTCAATGTTTTAGCATGTGAAGCTGCAAATGCGTTTTACATATAAGCTTCAGTAAATCAAGGAAAATGAGTTTCTCTGCACATTCATTGGAGGAAAAAGTTCACGTGGCCGTCGTC